CCTTGTAACAAGGAAAACTCACAGAAGAAAGGCTTTTGGTATTATGTAAACTTGCGTGAGGAGGAATTCTCAGCAAGGATTTTTTTAAAATATAATTAGTTTTTTACCGTTTTTCTTCATAATGTCTCGAGTTTTGATCGGGTGCGTAATCTATATTTTTTGTCATCTAAAGCATATCGATACAGCCATGATACCAATTTCCTGCAGATCAATCGCTTGTAAAAGGGCAGTACTTTGCTGTTTGTGTTAATTAAAAGTTTCATAAAATCAATAGAAAGCAGAAAGTCATTTGATGTTAGTGAATGAAGTGTTAAAAGGGCAAAGCTCCTAATCAGAAAAGAAGTTTTTTGTCTTATAGGTTTTATATCAATTGTCCATGAATATTTTTTCGATTTCCATGATGTTAGCATTTCAATCTGGTTTCGTTGACAGAGTGACCAAAGGTCATTAATATTATTATAACCTAGTCTACCTCTTTGCCCATAATAAACAGGAACCTGAAAAGTTACAATAGCGAAAACTGGAACACACAAACACGTTCTGTTGTGATGGTAAAGGTTTTTTTAAACCAATCTTGGATTTTTTCTTTTATTTTTCTCTAAGGTGAAAGCCTTGAGCTTAGAATCAATTCAACACTTAGTTTTCTTCAGTGAATTATCTGCTAGCGCAGAAGGGCTGAACCCCTTCAGAATATCCTATTTGGATGAATTACAATGTTATTTGACATAAAGAATGTGGTTAGTTGAGGGTTTTCAGAAAGTATCACTGTAACTCTGTCTATGACACTGTATCGTTCGTAAAAGGCGTTAAAGTCAAAGAATTTCTTCTAAAAAAGTAAATAAATATTCACTTGTTGAACTTCTCTGACCTATAGCAACAATACAATAGCTCCCTCTTTGTGTTTATACTTGGCGTATGCCCATTCCAACATAATTTTATTGGAACTGTAGGCCTTGAAAAATTTTCAGCTTCAAAAATTTTGGACTCCTTCATCGGATTTCTAGTCGCAAAGTTACCAAGTACATAATTGTGACATC